ACAGACACACACACACACACACACACACACAGACACACACACACACACACACAAAGAGCATGTTGTTGCGATCGTTCTCATGCACATGTTAATATCCATGTTCTCGGGACAGTGTGTTTAAATGGGAGAATCCTGCCAGACAGGGTTGGAGCGAGTGAGCGAGAAGGAAACCGGCTAACAAGTGTTCACATCATATTGCCAGATTGAATCTGTTAGCCATCACTGAGAATCAGAGCCGCATTGTAAGCGTTGAAGCACCTGGACTCCACTATAGGTCTCAATGAGGTCCTGTGTGTGTGTGTGTGTGTGTGTGTGTGAGACTGCCGTCCAGATGTGAGCTAAAGCTTGCAGATGTTGCGATAGAATACATGTCTTTATTTAGTATTTGTGTCATACCGTGTGTGTGTGTGTGTGTGTGTTTCTCCATAGGGAATGCTGTTTTGGATTAGCCTTACAATCATCTAATCTCTTTACATCCGCACTGACAGCTGAGGGGTTTGTGCTTTCAAGAGGAGCGAGAGCTCGATTTGGTCATGATTAAAAGCGCAGAGACAGATGGATGAATAGATACATGGTCTGTTCAATAAGTAAACACAGGCAGCAGCTTTCTGTGGTGTGCTCAACTTATGATACAGCATAAGAAAGAGGCCTTTGTCAGCCTGAAAACAAGCAAGCAGAGAGTAGAGTCAGTTTTATAGCACGAAATCATGATGTTGATGTTTATAATATCTTAATATCTTCATGCCTTTAGCAGATTAGAGCTGGGCGCTAATATAGTTACATTTTGCAGCAATATAAACAATAAAGCAGTTGAGATTTGATATGTAGTACACAGTATATCGCTTTAAGTGAGTGTACTGTATGAATGTGGGTAAAGCTGGATATATTTATATATCACTGGGTGATAACATAGCAGGAGATTTTCATTAATGTGTGTGTGTGTGTGTGTGTGTGTGTGAGACTGCCGTCCAGATGTGAGCTAAAGCTTGCAGATGTTGCGATAGAATACATGTCTTTATTTAGTATTTGTGTCATACCGTGTGTGTGTGTGTGTGTGTTTCTCCATAGGGAATGCTGTTTTGGATTAGCCTTACAATCATCTAATCTCTTTACATCCGCACTGACAGCTGAGGGGTTTGTGCTTTCAAGAGGAGCGAGAGCTCGATTTGGTCATGATTAAAAGCGCAGAGACAGATGGATGAATAGATACATGGTCTGTTCAATAAGTAAACACAGGCAGCAGCTTTCTGTGGTGTGCTCAATTTATGATACAGCATAAGAAAGAGGCCTTTGTCAGCCTGAAAACAAGCAAGCAGAGAGTAGAGTCAGTTTTATAGCACGAAATCATGATGTTGATGTTTATAATATCTTAATATCTTCATGCCTTTAGCAGATTAGAGCTGGGCGCTAATATAGTTACATTTTGCAGCAATATAAACAATAAAGCAGTTGAGATTTGATATGTAGTACACAGTATATCGCTTTAAGTGAGTGTACTGTATGAATGTGGGTAAAGCTGGATATATTTATATATCACTGGGTGATAACATAGCAGGAGATTTTCATTAAAACATCCTAGTTATTATTAATAATGCATCATTAATGTTTTTGAAAAAGAAACTCTAAAAGGAATATAATACAAATAATAATAAAAAATAATAATTTAGCTTTATTTACGAGGCAAATATGAAAGTCTGTTTCCGTTACAATATAATAATAATAATAATAATAATAATAATAGTTGTTATTTTTATGACACACTTTGCACATAATTCTGACTTTTTTCTTGCAATTTCTAATTTACATTGCACAATTCTTACTGTAGTTTATATCTCCTAATTCTGACTTTTTTTTCTAAATTCTGAGTTTACAATTAGCAATTCTGTTTTTTTTCCTCCAGTGGGATAAAAAATGTAAATGTAATTAATTAAAAAATTAAAATGTAAATGACTTTTTTACATGACTTATCTCAATTCTGACATTTTTTTCTTGCAATTGCAAATTTCTATATTACAATTCAGACTTTTCATTTCATAATTGTGAGACAAAATTTGCAGTTGCCTTTTTTATTTTTATTCTGTGGTGGAAATTTCATATATACAAGTATTTTTTTTTTGTGGTGGCATGACAATGATAAAAATCTATCATAAAATATAGCATTAATTACACACATAATGTTCAATCTTTATTGTGTTGCATTAGTGCTGAAGAACACAAAATCTTCAAGAAAGAAAGAAAGAAAGTCATTTTCTCAGAATTGCAAGACTTTTTCCTTGCAATTCTGAATTTACATCTCGCAGTTGTGTTGTTTTTGTTCCTACCACAGAATAAAATTAAAATATGTAATTGTGTTGCATTAGTGCTAAAGAAAGAAAGAAAGAAAGAAAGAAAGAGAAAGAAAGAAAGCGATTCCCCAACACAACAAAAAACATTACTTTCGAAATGATGACAGTTTTGAGGGACTTTTCCAGGAGGTTTTGGAGTCAGCATTACTCTGCTTTAGTTGAATTATACTGTACTGTATCCTTTATCCTTCTTTCTGTCCTTTCTGGTTAAACCAATAATGAAATCAATACTTGCATGACCGTAAAGTCCTTCAATTTGTTGTTTGGAGGAACCAGGAGAATCCCAAACCGCTTTGAAGGGATTTCTGGGAAGAGGAGCAGTTTACATTAGTGTGATTAGTCTTTGGTAATTAAGGTGAGCTGGCTGAAATTCACAGCCACATCAGATCACGTTTTCCATTCATTAACCAACTAAAACTTTCCAAATGTTTGGTCTTCACATCAAAAACCCTCAACAAATGATAATCGTGGACGTAATAGACGGTTCAGTCAGCGGTTTCGCAAAAATCATGTTTGTAAAACATGACGTTAGTTGTAACCAAGAATTACAACCTCTTTTTGGATGTTACTTAAACCTTTATGCTGAATCCTGTGTCATATTTTTGTGATTTTCCAGAATGGACAGGTATGCACAACCTGTCTTTGCTTTTGCTAACATTATTTCACCATCAGCCTAAGAGAAGGTGGTTGTTCATTCAGAGAGGCGTCTGGATGTCTTGACCTGACCTCCTCTCTGCCTCAGAGCACTATAGCTGTGTTTTTCCAGTTTCTGAAACTGTCTTGTTCTCCATCGTGAGCCACTGAAGGCAGACAGACAGTCTTCTCTCTCTGCTCTGAAACAAAAGTCTGTTTGTTTTCCAGGGAAAGCCACTCTTCTGTTTCTTTCCCTTTCCCAGCGCTCTTCTCCCAGTCAAAGCAGTCCTTGCATTCCCCAGTACCCACAAACTCAAGTGGACTGTTAAAACCAGATGCTCAGAGACTCTTCAAAGAAACTGGGATGGTTTTTTGTAGCTTAAATGTAGGCAGCGTTTGAAGGTACAGAGCATACGTTTAAGCCAGACATTGAAGTCCATCTGCTCAGACGTGCATCTGTATTTCAGCTCTGCTTTTTCTTAGAGTTGGGTGTATGTTGGGATCAGTGTCATTTTAGTAACATTAAAATGCTATTGCAGTTTTTGTTACAATTTTAAATTAGATTTTTATTTTTATATTTTCACTTTAATTTTAGTTAGTTTTAATAATTTTGTTGCAATTTTATTTTGTTTTGTTTTATTGATTTATGATTTATTTATTTAGGTTATTTTGTATTTTCTCTTTAATTTTAGTTAGAGTAATTTTGTTATGTTTTTGTCATTATGTATTTGTTTGTTTGTTTATGTCTGTATATAGTATGTATTTTTATTAGATTTAGTTTTAATTATTTTTATATTTTATATTTTCTCTTTCATTTTACTTACTTTTAGAATTTTTTTGTAATTTTAAAAATAAAATTGTGTTCTGTTGATTCATTCATTCATTCAGTCATTATTTTGTCTATATAGTATTTAGTTTTATTTTAATTTTGTTAGTTTTATTTTATTTAGTTTTAGATATTTTTCTATTTTCTATTTTCACTTAAATTTTAGTTAGTATTGGTGATTTAGTTGTGTGTTTTTATTTGTTTATTTACGTCTATAGTTTTATTTTTTTATTTTATTAGTTTTAGTTTGGGTAAAAGTGCACTACTGACATCACTGAATTTTATTGGCTCACTCTTCTTCACATTTAGCAGCAGAGGTGACGTGACCCAAAAGTTGTCAAAACATTTTACAACAAGTTTATTCTATTTCTAGGGCTAAATGTGACGAACTCAGCTGGAATAACATTTTCTCTCCTGCTTCTCTGCTGGAGGTGTTTCTGTCAAACCCTGAATCATACTAACATCAGTCCTCCACGCACAAATTATAATACAGCATCATATTTAAAGAGAGAATAAATTCATTTTAATAGAA